TGATGATCATCTTGACGATAAGTAAATGGAGGTTTTTCATCAATTGGTACATCATCTTGTATTCTATTCTCACTATGTTCAATCGAATGTGGGGGACGATGCGGTGTTCTTGTATCGGGTGGACGAAGAGATGGCTCATCAGACCTCTTAATTGGTGGATCCAAATTATCACGGTTATCATGATAATTAATAGGAGGAAGAGAATCATGTTTTGGAGCGAGCGATTCAGATGGATGATAAGAGGAAACGCCATTACTAGATCGTTCATCAGGCTTGACAACCTTATCATAAATATCAGATTCTCGACGATCAACAGGTAGATGATGAGTTATATCATGATGCGGATAACCAGAAATTTGAGAACTACCATGTTCAGATGTTATTATCCGTGGAGAAGGAGGATAATTAGGTCTCAATGGTGGATAAGGTTCAGGTAACTGAGAAGGGGAATGTCTAGGATGTCGATCATCCGGCATTTGAATTTGAGGAAGTTGTGGAGAAGGAGATGACGCACGTTTATCCGAATTATGACGTAAAGGAGGAGGTTGTTGTGGTTGAGACTGATGAGGAGTCAATGAACGTTGTTCATTTGGAGAAATTAATGGATTAAGAGTATGCTGTTGATTAGGTGGAGTTAGTGGTCTATCACGCATAAGATGAGGAGGAGGGGTATAAGTAGTAGTAGGACCAGGACTCCTTCTATTCATTGGAGGAGGTAAATCACGATGAGAACCTTCACCGTGATTAGGTATAGATGACAAAAGAGGACCTGTGGTATGACTTGGACGATTATCAACTGGTCTATTGTATCCTGGCATACCAGGGGGACCTGGAGGACCAGGAGTAGGTTGAGCGAATGTTGGGGTATTACCACCAAGCATGTTAGGAGGACCATTAGGAGATTGATAAGCTTGAGGGTTCACATCTTGAGGAATTGGAGCAGATGTTTGACCACCAGCTTGTTGATTTCTCAACATTTGTAAACGTTGTTTTATATGTGGATTACTTGGATCCAATTCAGCAGCTCGTTGATAGGCATCAAGAGCATCGTTGATCTGATTGTTACAAGATTCATATAGGGTACCAAGATCATACCACACTTCACTGATATACGGATTTAATCGAATCGCACGACTGTAAGCATCCAAAGCATCTCGGAACTATAATAAGTTTTTTTTTTTTTTTTTTTTTAGTAAATTTCATAAGATTTTTTTTTTTTTCAATAAATTATTTATGTATATTTGAATGTATACCTGATTTATTTGATAGTAAAGAACACCGATTGAACACCAAAATGTGGGATTACGACCATCACGATAACTATTTATTAAATCAAAATATAAAACCATCAATTAAGGGAAATTCATTAATTACCGGTAGTAATTATAATTCATAATACTTACACAGCCTGCTGATAAGCTTCATAAGCTTTATTGTACTTTTGTTGAGCCATATAACAACGCCCAAGAAGATACCACGATTGAGCATAGTGAGAATAGAATACAAGATGATGTACCAATTGATGAAAAACCTCCATTTACTTATCGTCAAGATGATCATCA